GTTACCACTCAAGAAAGAGATCTTAGACTCATCATGGCTAGTTCTCTGAAAATTTTCACTCAATGTGCAGCGGCAGTTAAATAAGTTAACAATATTAGATATCACTAGGAAAGGTGTAGACAAAAAAACAGAAAATATCATATAGCCACTATATAAATCCATGGTATGCTCACACCCTGAATACTGCATGCAATTATGGTAACACAATCTCAAAAAAGATGTATTAGAATTGGAAAAGGTGCAGAGAAGGGCAACAAAGATGACTAGGGGTATGCAACAGCTTCCATATGAGGAGAGATTAAAAAGAGTGGAACTGTTCAGCTTAGAAAAGAGATGACTAATGAGGGATATGATAGAGGTCTATAAAATGAATGGTGTGGAAAAGGTGAATAGAAAAGTATTACTTACTCCTTCACATAACACAAGAACTAGGGACCCAATTAAATTAATAGGAAGCAGTTTAAAAACAAACACAAGGAAGTTCTTTTTAACACAACAAACAGTCAACCTGTGCAAATCATTGCCCAGAATGCTGTGAAGGCTAAAAGTATAACTGAATTTAAAAAAGAATTAGATCTACTGTATTCATGGAGGATAGGTCCATCAATGGCTACTAGCCAAGATGGTCAAGGATGCAACCCCATGCTCTTGAGGCCCCTAAACTTCCAACTACCAGAAGCTGGGCCTGGATGACGGGATGGATCACTTAAAATTGCCCAGCTTTGTTCATTCCCTCTGAAGCACCTGGCCTGGGCCAGAAGACAGGCTGCTGGGTTGAATGGACCATTGGTCTGCCCCAGTATGGCCGTTATTATATTCTTAAACATTAAGCCCTGTGTTGATACAGCAGTACCTGGAGTGGGTATCCTAACAGGGGAGCGGCAGAACACTTCAGCTCCAGGACTGTGTTTGGTGGGTGGCCAGTCTCCTTCAACTAGCATTACCCTTTCCACTGGCTTAAAAACCAGATAAACTCCACTCATCTCAAAGATTCCAGCTGGGTCACCAGCTGCAGAGCAAGATCTAAGGATAAGGAGGCAACTAACCCCGCGCTCAGCACACGCCACAGCCCAGGCCAAGCAGAGGACCCAGGTACAGAAGCAGGCAGTGAGAGAGTTTCACTTTGGAGTTATAACCCGCCCGGGGGGGCTCTGCGCAGTTCTCTGGAGCTCCCCACGTGGAAAACGCCTCCCCCCAGCATGGGCTGCGGTCCCCAGCCTGGAGCCCAGGGCCGCCTGTTTGCAAGTGGCGCTAAGCCCTGCTACGGGGCGCAGCGCTGCCTGAGCCCCCCGGGCCGGGCTGTACTCACCACGGCCACGCGGGCCCCGCGCAGGCGGCGGGCGGAGCTGTGGAGGGAGGCTAGCCCGCTCGGGGCCGCCCGCAGCAGCCGCGCCGCCAGCATGGCCGGGCTCAGGGGAGCGGGTCGGGGAGGCGCGGGCTGGACTCGCCGCAGGGGCCCGGGCGCCTGGCTGGTGCAGCAGCGAGCCCCGGGACGCGGCAGGCCGGGCCTTGCAGCCGCACAGCGCCGGCTAGAGGCGGGAGGTCCCTGCCCGCTGCTGCGGTGTCTGCTGCTCGGCCGGCACTGGGGCTGCCGGGCTTCGTCCTCTGCCTGCTCCGTGGTGCCTCCGCTAGGGCCCAGCCAGTAGCCTTCCTACCAACTACAGTACTGCTAGCTCAGCCCGGGTAGCAGCAAGTGCTGTATGCCCAGTGTTTGCAGGATCAGATCCCGAGATCATTGACCGTCCAGACCTGCCTTTGCAAAAAGTACTGGATGAATGTAGCGAATGTTAATAATTATTCACATTGAAACTTGCTGCTAACCACCCCTCCTTAAAAAGTGCCCACAACCAAGACAGTTTCATGGGGTTTACTATTAAGCTCAAGTTTGTGTTGCCAGGTTTCATATTTGCTGTTTTCCTTGAAGCCCCAGCTCCTGAAATCATGTACTTACAGACCCCAGCTTTTTGTTTGTTTGTTTTTTAAAACAGAGGTTTCTTGCCCTCTTGGTTGCAGAAAAAAGCTTGAAAACGTTAGCTGAATGTTCCTGCATTGTTCAAAGATTAGAAGACAAATCAAAATCCAAGGATACATTCTTTTTTAAATCTCACAATTTTTGAACACTCAGGGTTTGGTAAAATTATTAGTTCATTATTACAGCTAAAATAAACCCAGGGTATCACAAGCTCATTAGTAGGGTAAATGTGGCACAAAATGATGTGCAGCAAGAGGCAAAGATCACACAGACCAGAGATGTTGGGCCAAATATGTTCAACACCCTCCTCCTCCTCTCAGCCCCTCATGCAGAGGCTCAGGACCTCCTTCACTGCAGCTCCTCTTGTATGAAACATTCTTTTTTCCCCTCTGAAACCAGGAGAATGTCTGTACATTTTGGGGAAAGTCCCTTCAAAATATTCCATGGATATTTTGTTTCTTATGCAGAGAGAGGAAACTCCACAGAGATGCTGCCAAAACCCCCGCAGCTCTTTTTCTCAATTCCTGCTCCTTGAAGTCCAACCTACTGGCTTAAAGATAATACTACTGTACTTATATTTTCCATAACACTTCTCATCAGGAGTTTCAAAGCACTTTACATAAGAGATCAGAAGAGGAAAGTGGGAAGAAAAAACAAACTTGCACCAGTTTAACTAAAGCTATTTTAGACACGTAAATTAGTTTAAACATTTTATTTCAGTTTAAGCATATATGGGTTTAGCTTAAATCTCTTTTTTTCAGGATTAAGATAAAATATACACTCAAAATTAAATAAGCACGTCTACAAAGAAACGTGCATGGATCGAACTAAATTGGGTTAAAAATACACCTTTAAATTGATGCAAGTGTGCGTAGATAAGGTCTGACCCTGCAAAATGTAGCCAAGTGGGTAGCCACATATGCTAGTCTTCACAGGTTCAAGCCCTAAATCCTTTATAGCAGTGGTTCTCAAACTAGGGCTACCGCTTGTTCAGGGAAAGCCCCTGGCAGGCCGGGCCAGTTTGTTTACCTGTCGCGTCCACAGGTTCGGCCGATGGCAGCTCCCACTGGCTGCAGTTCACCGCTCCAGGCCAATGCGGGTTGCAGCCAGCAAGTCCCTCGGCCCGTGCTGCTTTCCGCAGCCCCAATTGGCCTGGAGCGGCGAACCGCGGCCAGTAGGAGCCGCGATCGGCCGAACCTGCGGACACGGCAGGTAAACAAACCGGCCTGGCCCGCCAGGGGCTTTCCCTGAACAAGCGGCGGCCCTAGTTTGAGAGCCACTGCTTTATAGTTGACTGCCCACATTCAAAATTACATAAACTGGGCTAAACCGGAGGAAATATTAGGCCTAATGTGGGGCTTACCAGACTCATTCTGTTCAGGTTTCAGTATCACTTTCATCACCATGCTATATGAGCACTTCACAAAATGTTACTAGACAACTTGGGCGGGACAAAAGTTTATTTTGATAGCTCTGTCTTAGCTCAATTGAGGAATAAGGGAATGGATGGCTGCACCAGCCCCTATGCAGGAGTTGTTGGTGCAGGAGCCGGCTATACGCCTGATAAAAGTACTCCCAGCCCTTCCACAGAGAAATCTGATTTCATTGTGCTGCCTGCGCTGTATAGTTGCACAAAAATACTGCATTTATAAATGTAAATGTTTCTGACATGAGTAATACAAAAGCATAGCTCTCCCTCCGCAGATGTAATCCTTTGTATTACCTTTATGGGCCAAACTTTCAAAACTAACTTCCAAGAACTGCAGGCACACAAATTTAGGGGCAAGATCAAGGCTAGCTTAATAACAATGTGGCTAATATTATATTCACACATTTATTAGATACTATTGAGATAACCGAGGTGGCCTTCCAGTGCTAAGATCCATTTCTAGTAGGTGCTGTGCAAACCCATAGTAAGACAGTTCCCGAAGAGCACACAATCTAGAGATGAGACACACACAAGAAACCATAAGCAATGGGGCAGCAATTATGGGGTAATGTCAGCCTATGTAACCATATGCCGATACTGCTACCATGTAGAACAGGGGTGGCCAACCTGAGCCTGAGAAGGAGCCAGAATTTACCTATGTACGTTGCCAAAGAGCCACAGTAATAAGTCAGCAGCCCCGCATCCGCTCACAGTGCCTCCCACCCACCAGCAGCCCCACCGACCAGTGCCTCCCTCTCCCTCCCCACACCTCCTGATCAGCTGTTTTGTGGCCTGCAGGAGGCTCAGGGGAGGGGGCGGGGAAGGAGCGAGGGCACAGTAGCTCAGGGGAGGGGGCGGGAATGGGGGCAGGGCCTGTGGCAGAGTCGGGGTTGAGCAGTGAGCACCCCCCTGCACACTGGAAAGTTGGCGCCTGTAGCTCCAGCCCCGGAGTCGGTGCCTATACAAGGAGCCACATATTAATTTCTGAAAAGCCGCATGTGGCTCCGGAGCCACAGGTTGGTCACCCTGATGTAGAACTTTATTCTCAATTATGTAAGATTTCATGATTTTAACAGTCCCTAACCACCTATAATCCTTTTGGCTCTCCTAACATTTGCTCTTTCCTCGTTTATTTGATTTCTCCCTTCTATGCAGCCTGTTCTCAACACCAGGGGAGAGGCCCGTAAAACCTGTGTTTGCACTTGATAAAATAAGAGTTTTTTTTTAAAAGAAGAAACAATCCAGAGTGCCATCACTGATGTGTGTCCCCAGCTCTTTCACTCTTTTAATACCTTTTATCTTTTTTTGACATCTTGCAACACAGGCAAGACATGGAGACTCCCAAAAAAAAAAAAAAAAAAAAAAAAAAACAAACAGGCGAAAAAAGAAAGGAATACAAACAAAACAAATTCCCAAAGGGGGCAATAAAAACAGCAACGGTGAAAAGATTTTTTTATGATAAACTATCATGTAGGAAGAATGTAAAACACTACCCACCATGGCCAGTGAAGTGAATAGAAATGACTTGTGTCCTGGATAACAGTGGAAGGAAGCAGTCATTCGCAAGAATAAGCATGGAAAAACAGTTTTACACTGGTATATTTATTTACTTCGATCACCAGAGCATACAGTAATATTTATTTTATACAGTTGAGTCATACAAACTGATTTTTTTTCTACATCTAAACATTTTTATGCACATTTTCTCTGTAACAGTTTTCAGTAACCTTTTTGCCAAGTGTTGCCACCAAAACAGAATTCAATAGAAGATCACTTGTGATTGATCCCCATCCGTAATCTGTGAGATATTCTTCACTAATAGAGATCTGTTAATATATTGCATAGGAGACATGCATGTTTTTTCCATACTCAGAATCTCAAAAAAGTAATTAACTGGTGCTCATGTTGACTCACATTTAAAGCAACTGAGAGACCCAAACCTGCAGAATCTGACATCCTAATGAACCCTGGTTGTACTGTTAAAAAAAAAAAAAAAAATACAACAGCTGTCATGTTAAAACGAAAAAAAGAAAAGAAACATTCAGATATTTAATGTTCTGCTGATTTGGTTACATAGTGGTATAAGTTGCATTCAACAGGCTGGAAATTTCTGGACATAAATCTTTACTGCAATACCCTTGATCATTAACCAATTAAATTCCTTGCAGATGCTGTACTACACAGAATCTTTGCTCACATATTTGTTCACACTATGGTATGACATTTATTCCAAATATTTTTCCTTTTTTGGGGTAATATTCAGCTTAAAGTTTGGATAATTTTAGAATTTATAAAATTATTATTATTTTATTAAATGCAACTAGGATAACATTTCGAAATGGAGTTGAGGTCAATATGCAACCCTCCAAATATTTAATGAAAAATGACACACACACACACAAATGATTAAAAAAAGAGTTTAATCCAGGGGCACAGAAATATTGTGACAGCAAAGACTTCAGAGAGTGACTTGCAATGCCTAAAATGCCTGTATATGTATATACATTTTATCAAAAATAAACACACCAAACAATAATTTTACTTGCGCTTTTATCTTTTTTGACAGATGAACACAAGTATCTTCTTGTTTGAGTTCAGATACAAATCTAGCTGATCAGCTTCGTCCTCGCTCCCTCAGTTACGGGAAGAGGGAGGACATAAGCCATGTTTTAGGGACTGTATGGACTACACTTTAGCTATCCTAAATCGAACCAGCTTCTGTATCTTTGCAGATACTCCAAGCCTATATCACAACATATACAAAATAAGCCACTATGAGGGCCACTTAATCTCAGTGAATACCACTGGCGCAAGTGATTGCTTCTGTAGGTCCCCAAAAAACAAAAAGAAATAGGAAAATTAAGGGAAAATAAGTTGTCCTATGAATGCGTGGTTGCCTCTTCCATAAGATAATCGCTGTTATCCTCCAACTCCTCTTCACTCACTGATGTTTCTGCAGGACGTTTCATGCCCCGTTGTTGGGAAATGGCCAAAGCATATTTAATATTATAGCGATTCCACTCACAGCTGTAAAAACAAGTCACCAGAAGAAAAAAACGTTAAATGTTAGGTTCTGCTTCATCTAAGTACATCACCCAAATTTTCCCTCCCAACATTCAATGGCCTTTTGTACAAGACTATGTTTTAAGTTTGAAAAAGATTTAAAGGACAGCAATACGTACAGTTTAGAAACATCTTCAAAGTGACGTTGGATGCTCTTCTGAAGGAACTGAATCAAGGGCAGCAGCTTCCCTGACCTATAAAGGAGAAAGCAAGCAATTAACTGTGTAGCCTGTATTTACACATGGATTTCTAGAATCCCTTTTCAACATTATTCTTCAAAATTAAAAAAAGCCTGTTATATTGTTAGCTCGTTTTTACATATCTATGTTCTAAATCTAAAATATCACTGAATAAAAGCAAGTGACCTTGTAACTTTGTGCTGTGTCCACCAATAAACCTGTGTACAATTTTAGCTCAGTACAACATATGTATGCAATTTATCACTCATGTTGCTTCAGCTGAGCTAGTCAAATGCTTCTCCCTCCCAAGCACCAATGTAAAAGTCAGCCCCAGAAACCATTCCATTCTGAGGTCAAATGGCAACTTTTCCGAGTTGATTCTCTTTGCTATCATGATAATGAAGTTGACTCAAGGTATAAATTCCAGAAAAGCAAGGCAGGAATTTGGACTTCACAAACTATCCACTGCTACTTTGTAACAAAACAAAAGAAAGAATCAGTCTTCCTTGCCATTTCGGATTCATTAAATGATGGCATGATGTGTGAATAACTACTCATTCTTCACCCCACAGCAGCAAGGAAAGGAATACATAATCGCTTCTTACTCAGGTCTACGGTGACTCCCAAATAGTAGTTGAGAAGAGCTGTCAGATTTTTAATTTGCCCAGTGTCTTCATTCCAATTGCCCAAACACTCTACAAGAAAGCTAGGCTGAATGTAAGACTCATAGCTTGTCTAATTGCCTGAAAGGAACTAGGCAGGAATGCAGAATACAGAAATCATTACACTGCTTTCCAAAAAACTAGGGCTGTCAAGTGATTAAAAAAATTAATCCCTATTAGGCACGAGATTAAAAAAATGTAACTCCATTAGTCGCAGTTTTAATCGCACAATTAAATAATAATAGAATACAATTTATTTAAATATTTTTGTAGGTTTTCTATATTTTCAAATATAGGCTAGGGCAGGGGTTCTCAAACTGGGGGTTGGGACCCCTCAGGGGGTTGTGAGGTTATTACATGGCGGGGGGGGGGGATCGTGAGCTGTCAGCCTCCACCCCAAACCCCGCTTTGCCTCCAGCATTTCTAATGGTGTTAAATATATTAAAAAGTATTTTTAATTTATTAGAGGGGGTCGCACTCAGAGGCTTGCTATGTGAAAGGGGTCACCAGTACAAAAGTTTGAGAACCACTGGACTAGGGGCTCTGGGCTTCAGTCTTCAGCGCCTCTCGGGGTGCACGGTTCCATCCCGGCTCAGGGCTTCAGGCCTCCCCCGCCCCCAATGCCTCCCTCCCCACCCAGGAGTATGCGATTAATGTGATAATTTTGTTTTCAGTTAATCGCAGGCGTTAACTATGATTAATTGACAGACTACAAAAACATAAGCAAAGTCAGCATGCTTAGGTATGAAGCACTGCCCAACTCGATGTCAATTGCATCAAACGTAAATAATTGTTTAAGAACAGTGTTCCCACAAGTCTTCTTACAGCTCTTTATAGCTTTATGCATTTATTAACTAAAGCTAGAAGTTCAAACAAAGTTCTACCTACAATCTAGGAGAGCCTCCTCTGCAACTTTACTGCAGGAATCATGTTATGTCTCCCAAATACTCACATTTCAACCTATACTGGGGTCAATGGGAAGTCATAATAATCAAGTATTTGGGTTGTATGTTTCAATACAGAATCTGAAAGATAGTTGCTGGAAGCCTCTTAATTGTCTCACAAATATTTTAAACTTTAGCTTAAAATGTCCAATTTTCTGTGTTTTGATTTTCAAGTCCACTCACCTTGTTTTTAACTTCTGTCCGTGTAGCATCAGTAACCGCTGAGCCCAAGTAAGATAGAATTCCAAGTGATGAGATGTCTCCAAGGCAGAGGCTAGAAACTCCAGCACCTTTTCCACATACAGCTCTGGGAGCGATGAGCAGACAACATCAACTGTTTAAAAAAACAACAACAACCCATCAAGCTTTCAACTGGAATAACGGGGTGGGAGGAAAGGGAAGGAAAATTGAGGAGATGCCCTTTCAGAGCCTATCCCAGTTCTACTATTCCGCGTCACCTGACAGGAGGTAACCTGCCAGTATTGTGAACATCACTTGCCAGCCCTTCAGAAAGTAAGTTACTCCTCTCTGAATTTTCCAACCTCCACAGCACTTAAAAGCAAGATATTCCTATCTGCCCCTAAAACAGGGTCTGCCATAACATTTATTTTCTATTAAAACTTCAACTACCTTCACCTTTTCTCCATCATCTTTCACTCCACCCTTTCCCTCTCTCTGCACATCCAGGCTCTGGCAAAATCTTGCTGCTTCTCACTTTATAGGAACTGCCACAGCAGGTCAGACCAGTGCTTCATCTCATTCAGTGTTTCTGTTCCCAACACTGGCCAGTATAGGATGCTTCAGAGGAAGGCATTAGAATAACCTGCCCACAAAAGAAGCTTCTTCCTAACCTCTGTTTGTTAGAGATGACAATGCCCTAAAGCATGAGGATTTACAACTAAGGCTACGCTTCTGTCATGGAGGTCACGGCTTCCATGATTTTAAGAGATGTCAGAGTTCTTCGGCTTCAGCCCTGGGCAGCAAGACTCGGGCTTTGTTACTGGATTACTGTGTGTCCATTTCCGGGATTCATTGTTTATTTCCGGCGTCCTGTCCATGACTTTAATAAAAAGACCCATGCCAAAATCGTAGCCTTATTTATAACCCTTCCAAATAAAAGTCCAATCTAATGTAATTCTGAATTTTCTCATCATCCTTGTAAATGGATAATCCCTTTTTTGAATCGCCACAAGCCCTTGAACTCTCTGATACGTCACTGCAATGAGTTCCATGGCTTACGTATAACAATTCTAAAATCCTCCCATTCCTCTCCGTCCCTATTGCAGGGGTGGCCAACTTGTGGTTCCGGAGCCACATGTGGCTCTTCAGAAGTTAATATGCGGCTCCTTATATAGGCACCGACTCCGGGGCTGGAGCTACAGGCACCAACTTTCCAATGTGCAGGGGGGTGCTCACTGCTCAACCCCTCGCTCGACCACAAGCCCTTGCCCCCACTCCACCCCTTACCCCCCCTCCCCTGAGCCTGCCATTCCCTCGCTCCTTCCCCCCCCCCATCCAGAGCCTCCTGCACGCCACAAAACAGCTGATCAGGAGGTGCGGGAAGGGAGCGGGAGGTGCAGATTGGTGGGGCTGCCGGTAGGCAGGAGGCGCTGGGAACGGGGGGAGGTGGCAGCTGATGGGGGGCTGTTGACGTATTACTTTGGCTCTTTGGCAACGTACATTGGTAAATTCTGGCTCCTTCTCAGGCTCAGGTTGGCCACCCCTGCCCTATTGCCAAAACCCTGGTTCACGGCATAGCTCTCCCCAACCTAGATTGGATTCTCTCCAGCCTTCCTGACTCTCCCCTCAATCCAACATAAACCAGCTAAAATAGCCTTCCTCTTCTACCACCACCACATTCCTTCCCTACTACTTGCTTCCCTGAATTCCTTTCCTATCCCACGTATCTTTCTGCCTGAAATTCCAACTCCTCATCCTCAGCCCTCAGGCTTTGCCTCCTGCCTCCATTTCTGATCACTACCCATCCCAACCCCACACCCTGCTCACTCTTGTCGCTTCCTCCCCTTCTTGCCTTTTTCTATGCTGCTCCCCACACCCGGAACAGTATCACTTTCCTGGTGTGCCAAGCAGCCACTCTCCTACACCAACGCAAAAAATCTGCATCTTCTGACCATTGACTTCTGCACTCTTATATTCTTCCTTCCTTGCCACATAAAAATATCAGCGCATAAGATTTATTTACTTTATGACATTTTTATTTGAACACGTTCAGTCTCCTGCTCCTATGTTTGTGAAGTTACATTTTAAGCTCTTTGGTTCAGAAAAATTATGACCCCAAATAAGTGATGATTAATTAGCAGCATGTATGCACTGTAATGTATAATAGTAAAATGTGCCTTTTTTATTATATACAGTAAGAACAATGACATCTATAGCCATTTCTAGTCAAACATCTGAAAGTACTTTGTGATTCAGGAATTAAGCCACACATGAGCCCTGTGAGGTGGACATTATCCCCATTTTACAGATATAAACCTGAGGAACAGAGGGGAGGTTAAGTGACTTGTGCAAGGTCAAAAAGGAGAGTGGCAGAGAGGAAACAGAAATTAGATTTCTTGACTTTCAGCTGCAAGACTCTCTCCCCCTTCCTCTTTAGACATATCAGTACTGAGGTAGAAAGGACTAGTGTCCTGAATTAACACAACATTCCATAAACATACAGTAGGCTTGCTGTAATATAAAATGTTTGGTAATAAAAGGAAGTTTAAGGGCTACACTCTGCCCTCAGACTTCAGCTCAAAGGGGGTTACACATCTGGATCTCAAATTAGCTTAATTAAACTTTAGGGGAGCCCTGCTTACCTTCATTACACGGTACAGTCTCTATGACCTCCTGAATTAATTTCTTCTCATTCAGTCGGAAGGCCATGACGATGGCCATGGTGTACTCCTTCTGACTCAGCACTTTGCGCACACTGCTAGGTGTGATGTCAATGTCCAACTCAAATGGATCAAAGATTAGTCCGGAGTCTAGTGAGTAGATGAGAAGGCCTTCTGTGGTGGTCGCTGCCCAGCTTCGTCCTAAAAGAGAAATGGCAGTTGATATTTAAACACAACACACTTGTTTTTTTCTGGGGAGCGGTGATGAACAATGAAGACTGTTCCCCAGGCTTGCTTAAAGTGATTTGGGAAGAGGAGGTCTCTCAATACTATAGATGGTTTTATTGATCAAACACGGTCTGTGAAAGGTGCCAGCTTGACAGCACTATGAACTTAAATCTTCTGGTTATCCAGAACATAGGAACAACGCAGGCAACAATATGCCCAATACACAACACTAACATTTTCTGGAGGGATCACCGCTACGGACAAGAAATCAGCCCCTCTGCAGAGAATGCCAATAAGGGGGCCAATAAGTGACAATATCAGCAACAGTGGTTTCTGCGAGGTGTTTTCTGTGACTGGACTGAGGCCACCAACTCATTTCACATATGCCTCTGGAGAGCCACCAGAGGCATGACAGTGTCTTTATATCACCCTAAATCTGGGGTGAATTTGAATTAATGACTCAGAAATTAGAGGCTCACATCTATCAGTTCTCATCCACTGCTCAGTCCTTCTGCAGGGGGCTGTGGGGCGGCCCCCCCCGCGGGAGACTCAACATTACTGATAAACTACATTTACTGTTAAAACACCCACCAGTAGGAGAGAAACGGAGGCATGTCACTCTTATCTCTGGTTTAAAGTGCCGAGAACTCAAGTCACCTGAAACAAGAAATGAGAAGCAAGTCATCAACACATCCAACTAAATATTCACACTGTGGATATGAACCCTCACCCTGGAGTTACTGTCGCTGAATCAGCAGAAACACATCTGACACAGGAACGCTGAACCATTGTGTGACAGGTTCAGAACTGGTGGTATGGCGAGCATGATAGATATTGGTAAGGTGACAGATACCAACAGATCACTTAAAAAAATCCTGAGATATCAGATTTCCTTTCGGCTCATAGGTTACTTTGCTATTTTCCTTATCATCCTGTTATTCTGATCTCAAACATGAGCAATACCAATGTGCCATGTACTACTTTGGACACGATGTTCATCACACACTCAAATGTAATCAGTCATCTTGTAATACAATAGCCTCCAGAGGCCTCAACTGAGAACGGGGTCCTGTTGTGCTAGGCGCTCCACGGAGAGAGAGAGAGAGACAGTCCCTGCCCCGAAGAGCTTCCAGTCACAAGACAGAAAGTGTAGGAGGAGAAACAGAGGCTGGGTCTACACTACAGCGGGGGTCCGACCTAAGATACGCAACTTCAGCTACGTGAATACCGTAGCTGAAGTTGCATATTTTAGGTCGGCTTACCTGGCGGTGAGGACGCGGGAAAGTCGACCGCTGCCGCGCTGCCGCCGACTCCGCTGCCGCCTCTTGTCGAGGTGGATTTCCGGAGTCGACGGCAGAGCGATCAGGGATCGATTTTACCGCGTCTTCACTAGACGTGGTAAGTCGATCCCCGATAGACCGATTGCTACCCGCCGGATCGGCGGGTAGTGAAGACATGCCCAGAGGGAAGAAAATGACTTGCCCAAAGTCATAACGCAGGTCACTGGCAGAGCCAGGCACTGAACTCCAATCTGAGTGCCAGCCTTATGCTCTACTCACTAGGCCACAGTGTATCTGTTTCCTATTACCTCTGTGAGAAAGTATTCAACAACAGGTCACTGATTATTACATCTGCACAATGTTTTCAAACTAGCTTTAACAATTTTGGCAGGGCGGTGGACATGTCTAATAGCATCAACCCTTGTCCATCCCACACTGACCCAGAGTTGAAGGTTTTTTTATCCCATGGAGCCAAGGGCAAAAAGCAGTGTTACTACCAGTGGGATTAAGAACTGAACTTACCTCTCTTTACACCTGGAAGAGCAATGGCAACACCATCCTCATCCCCAGCCCCATCATCAATCAGCGCCATGCTGCCAAATTCAGTCATTTTCCTACGATCCAAGTACTCCTGAAAAATATTCATATTCCATTTGCTACAATACTTCTCTCCAACATAACATGTTTCCCTGTATCTGAAGAATACATGTATAGCAGAGGTCCCCAAACTGTGGGGCGTTCCCCCCAGGGAGGGCGCAGAGGAACATTCAGGGGGCACGGCTACGCCCCGCCTCGGGGGGGGGGGGGGGGAACCATGGGTAAGGAGGGGGAGCGCGATGTAAAAAGTTTGGGGACCTCTGATATATAGAGAGAGTTCTGAACAGGATTAAGTGAGTAATTCACAAACATTTAATGGGCTAGCCCAGTCGCCTAATGGTTATTGCTTTGTACTTTCATCCAAGAGTCTCCTCCAACTCCTGGAAGAAACTGAAGCTTGCAGTACTGTGGGGTCAATGCTCAGCCATTGGCGAGGGAGGGAATGCCCCTCAGTTTACCTTACAACAACCTCTACTTGATTTAGGAGTGTTCATTAATGGGTTTCAAAGAAAGCCCAGATCAGCCCTCCTCAGAGAGTGGCCATGACAATTCAAGGTAAGGAGAATGAGAAGTGGAGATCTAAGAGCTCCTAGCAAGAAAGGAAGAGTGATGGAAAATATTGCAATATTGTAGTTACTTTTAAATTAACTGAAAACGTTTGCATTTGACAATACTGTCAGATTACGTTTATAATTCTAACTTTTGTGGCCCCCCCCATGCTGCATCCATTCTTTGGCACAAATATGTTGTTCAGAAAGAAAATTATTCAGTACAAGATTGTCATTAATTTTAAAATCTCACTCTCTTGAAATGCAATGTAATTGCAAATTGACTTTACTATCATTCATTGTCAAGAAAACTGCACTTTCAAGACCAAGCACTTTGGCTGCTTTTGGGTTTCTTGTAGTCCAGTAGTTATGCAATTTTATTCTCTCCTTTGGTGTTTTCACCTGTGACTGTCTCCTACTCAGTACCAACAAAAAGAACTCCCACTTAAGTAATAAAATATTCCTAAAGCAAACCTCATTTATCAGACACTATACCAAAAACAAACACAGTCTTAAAAAAAACAAACAAACCAAACTGAGATAGTCACTTACCTCCATTGCATCTAAGGAAAGATTACATGAGATTTCAAATTTCTTCATAAGAATCTGTTCCTTCACATGATAAATACAGACAAACTTTGATAATCCTCCTGCCAGAATAGATTGGCCATCAGCTGAATAACACAGAGTAGTGAAAGATCTGAAAAAATATACAATGCATAATTTCACCCCTACTTCTGAGCTTTGAGCAAACATCCAACATCAATACAATGGAAAGACAATGAACCAAAATTGCTATTGAATAAAAGAAAACCTTTCCTAGTTTAATCTTCCACAGTCATTAATATGTTTAATGTACAGAATTGTTTTGCCATGACTGAATACTTCTCAAATTCTTTATTGTGAATTATCACAATGCAGATTTCAACAGATTTGTTGGTGTACTCACAGGGTGTTGTGAGGATTATTTAATGTTTGTACTACTCCACTTGTAATACAGTCATGTCACGTCAACAGCAAAACAATTCTCCAGGGCTTTTCCATCAAGCACACTTTTCTTTCCTCTCAGACATGCAATTTTGCAATCCCTCTGGGCTTGAACCTCCCATAGAGGGAAGACAAACCAGCCTCTGCTTAACACCCCATCCGTACCATACACTCCTGCAATTAGGCTTATGGGATGGATGTGCATCAACATAAGTGAGCAGTAAGCCATGTATGAGACAAATATCCACTACAAAAGATTTAGTTTCTTCCCCAAGGTCTTCATACCTGTCTTATCTGCAATTAAAATGATTCAGAAGAGCCAGAAAAAAAATTACTATTAAATGATGAGCTCTGTTTCAAGACAGCAGCTGACTGGTGTTCACAACTGAAAGTTATATATTTTTCAAAGAGTTATTGCCTCTTTTTTGGGGTGAGGGGATGAGAGGAAAGATTTCTTATCAAAGGCATTCAAATACCAGGCGTGCTCATTGTTTGTGAGATTTTTTAAAAGTTGATTGTTATTAATGCATTGAAAAAAATGTATACTGCCTGAATAATAAAACCAGCAGGATATCTCAGATTACATCTTCTGAAATGAATCACCTACATACCAGCTACTCACAAAACTATAACTGTGTATGCCTTTTACTGTCACTTCTAAATGATGCACAGCATGACATGAAAGATTTAATAGGATATAAATGAATCAAGTTTAGGAGAAAAAAACAGATGCTCAGGAGTTGATGTATGAGTGACTCTGACCTATGATGAAGGTACCAGGGGAAAAAAAGGTCTAGAATGAATGGACAGCACACTGAGTCAGAAGATATTTAAGTTATTAAAACTGAATCTCAGAATCAAGATATTCAGATGTCAGCTAAACTCTGAAACCCTCACATAAAGGTAAGAAGCAAGAGTATTGAGCACAGTCAATTTCTTGTCATTGCTACAGGAATATTTTACATACTTTGCCTTAGCAGACTGTTTGGCTGTTATTTTGTCCAACTCTTTTCTTCCCATCTGAAGGTCGTGTCTTCCTTCAATTGATCCAGTCTGCACTGCATTTTCATGATCCCAGAAAGTTATCTGTCCATCCAGGGCAGCAACCGCAAGCTCACTGCCATCAGGGCGGAAAGCAACAACAAGAACTGCAGAGAATTTGGTTGATGAATAAAAATGTACTTCAGTCTTAACACATTTTTTCTGGACTCTACTAAGCGAGATTTAGAATAAGAGGGTACACTTTCACATTTTTATAACAAAACACAATGCTAAGCTGACTAAAAACCCAGGTAGCTAGCACCAAAGGCTTTTTGAGCTATTGACTGTTTCCAAATAATGTGAAACAGCAGCAATGAAAACTACAGTCTGAGATTGGCAAATAAAATGCTTACTCCTGAGGGAATTCTGCTCCAAATTTTTTTAAAAAAAAATCTGCTCACAATATTTTAAAATGCTGAAAATTTTATTTGTCAATAAATAAATGTGGAGGCTCCAGCGTGGCAGTGGGGAGCGCAGGCCACTGGCTGCACAAAGGTGGGAGATCACCTTGCAGCCTCTCCCCTCTCCCTCCCCAGGACACAGACTCGGCGGTGAGGCTGCACCTGACCCTGACAGTGCGCAAGGGCCAGGCCTGCCCCAGAGGTCTATGTCCGGTGGGGGAGGGGTTGGGCTTCAGGGTGATCTTCCACCTTTGTGCAGCCAGTGGCCACACTGCCACGCTGGAGTCTCCACATTTATTTGACAAATAAAATTTGCAAAATTTTAAAACATTGTGAGCAGAATTTTTAATTTTTTTGGTGCAGAATTCCCTCAGGCGTAGCAGGTGAAGCAACTCACCAGGGCTAGCAACTCCGCACCAGGCACACCAGGTGTGGGCAGACAGGCTCAACCCAGCAGAATCCAAGTGTGGAGGGACTTAGTGTAGGGGGGCAATCTGGGTGCAGGGAATCCAGATGCACAGGGGCTCATTGGGGGGTACAGGGACAATGGGACTCTGCAGGGAGGTCCAGGCGAAATTGGTTGGGGCTCAGCAGGGGGTCCGGGTGCTAGGGGAAAGGAACTTTCAGTACAGCTGGTTGGGGCTTGTAAGGATGGGGGTTCAAGTGTATGGGGAAGTCTGGGTGCAGGGTGGTGGGGCTCGACTGGGGGTGGTCTGGATACAGGGGTGAGCCTCGGTGGAGGGGTCTGGGTATGGGGGTACTGATGCATGTGGGTTGGGTGGACGTGGGAGCAGATCCCCATACAGTGACCCCTCCCCACACAGCTGAGGAGCGATGGGGGCAAGAAGCAGGGGGGAGGGTGTGCAGAGCCGGAGGTTTCTCGGGGTGTCTGACCCAGCCGCTCCATGCAAGGGAAGTGTGCACCTCCCCTAGCCAGGACTAGCAGCTGAGCCCAGCTCAGGGTAGGAGCCATGGGCCAGGTACCAGGGCTCAACAGGGGACTCTGGGTGTGGGGGGTGAGGATCAGTGTGGGGGGTCTGGGCCTGGGGGTGTCCAGATGCAGGGGGATTGGACGGATGGGGGGTGGACTGACCTGGCATCCGCTGGGGTGTCCCCACCCCCTGTAGTGATTTACCTCTCTGCTGGCTGCTCCAGGCACCCAAAACAACGCACCCATGCTGCTGGGGAGGGGTGCGTGACCGATCTTGCATCTTTCCCTTTGCTTCCCCCATCAGAAAGTCATTTTTCTCCAGGGAAGCAAAGAAATCTGCACGGGACATGAATTCTGCATGCGCGCAGTGGCACAGAATTTCCCCAGGAATAAATGTTGACTGATTGACCTCACCAACTACAGATATTCTCAATATATTTTTGATGGAATAACACAGATCATACATAACTGCCTCTATGTGACAGGTTAGATAGAATGAAATGAAATTTACCATCTGAGTTCAGTGTTAGTGTCTCCTTGGTTCTCCAGCTATCAAACATATCCCAGAGTCTGACCGTTTTATCCCAAGAGGCACTAGCTAAGATACTCTTCATTGGGTTAAAACACAGACTACTGATGGGACCTTCATGACCTGATAAGACCTAATGGAGTAAGAAAAAAATAATATGGAATAATTAAATGAAACTGAGTTCAACATATAATCATGTGGCAAAAACTGTGATAATGTCCACAGGCTGTGGACACCCTTACTACATATGTTTAGGAGCATATTATTTTTTCAATACAAGAGATGTTATGCAGGTACATTCCTGTGTACAGAGATGGGAAAAGACTTCCTTTGGATCTTAAAGAACAGGAAATAGAAACTAGGTAACAGAATTCCATAGTACTCGCTATTTTGTTTCCTCTGGTAAGACGATCAACTTAGAATTCAGGAATATAATGGATTTTTTTTAAATGTATAACTAACTAGCCAGAGGAATTGATAAGTAGATCATTTCTCCAGAGATTAAGGCTGGCCTACTGCTGAAATCATTTCACAATTTGCTGTTTTCCGAATCAAAGTCCCTGTTGCAATTCTGATTAAAAGGTAAGCAATAAAAAAAAAAAAAAAAATACTCTACGAGCACATCTGTGGTTTCACATTTACATTCATTCCAATTAGGAAAGGAAATTCATTTCACTTTCTTTTTTTAAACCCCCAACTGCAGAAACAGGTGTTTGAAAAAGAGGCAATACTGGAGTACAGGACTTCCACACACTTCTCCCCCAACAAAATTCATCTGCTATCCTTACTGACCCCCTGCGCTCAGTAAGCTATTCCGCGGTCAGTCAGCCAGGTTTTTTCACCTAGTTTGCTTTTGCATTAGTGTGGATGTCTAAGGCGTGGCCATACCCTTGTCCAGTATGCAAGTGGAAGCCATGGAAGTGGTGAACATGGCCCTTCAGAGTCATGTCTTTCCTTAAGTAACAAACCTCTGAGAAAAATCCAGAATTCTTAAACCACAGTGCGGAATTTAACCCCAAACTTTTTCATGAAAACCACAAGCTCTTCACTTCTATTGCTCCCAGCCTGCCATGAGCAGAGTATTGTCCAGCTCTGCACTGTAGCAAGAACATCCTCAGGCTGTGTTCTAGTCTTGAGATTCTTCCTACAACTTCTACGTCATAATGAAGTGGACAACACAGGCTGAGTTCTTGTCCCAAGAGGTGATGGTGGGCATGGAGAGGAGAGGGTTTCTCAACTGCTAGTGTTGTGTTCAGTCTAACCCTCTGCAAGGTACCAAACTTTAATGTAGTCAGTCTATCAGCCCTCTTTCTGGCTGTATACATCTTTCCTCTTTCCCTTCAATAAGAAGTCATTTATGCACTAGCTGTGCTCACTCAGCAGCCAGAAAGGTCCAGTAGACCTTTCCTAGGTTGCTCTTAGTCAGCCACTCAAGAATGCTGAAAACTAACCCGTTCCCCACAGACACAAATGTAGCATAGTCCAGAGATACCAAATTATAGATTGCCCCGGGGGGGGGGGGGGGGGGGGGGTAAGGGGGAGGAGGCGGATAATGTGGGTTTATACATATAGCTGCATCTCCTCCACAACACAACCCTCAGACAGGGTTAACTAACCTAAAAGATACTTAACAAAACCACAGTGCTTTCTATGTTAATAGTGAGTGTTCTAGAACAATCTCAGTTCCTTACATCTAACAGTCTGCCACTCTGCATTGACCAGACAAATATGTCAAACGAGTCCTGGGAACCAGCTGAAATAATCTCACCACTGGAGTCCACTGCTAAGCAAGAGAACTGGGCTGGTCGTGGAGAAGTGAAGGTGCGGAAATTGCGATATCTGTTGTAAACAATATGCAGACATGATTTTAAAAATATATATTTGTATATGTCTAAACAATTAAAAAGCATTAAGAATAGGTTACAAAAATTAAAGTATTTCACATTTTAATATTTTATATATTTTTAAAAATAGCATTTTAAACCAAGAAGTGTAAGAATTTAAATCTGGAGTACACTTTGCAAAGCTACTACATACAGAAATTAAAATAGACATCCAAAAAAAAAAAAAAAGACATTTTTGCTCAGCCAGTGGAGTTACGTATGACTTGCTCAATAGGAAGGAGTTCAAGACTGACTCAGGGACTCCTGTCCAGCAGAAGCTGGACAATTTGTGAAGATGCTATTTTTTAATCTCCAAAAAATATTCATGTTCATCTTTGAAGATGCTTGTTCTTTTTTTAAATATACTTACGTTTATTATGTGAATGATGGAGTAGCTTGCATGTGTCCCTATACACACCCTCTGCTGAATGATCGGCAACAGCTATGCCCATATGTTTTATTAGTTTCCTTTACTGAGTGAGCTAGTGGAGATGTTCCTTTAGACACATGCCTTTATCAGTTAACTGACTTATGAAGCCAGAGATCATGGCTTCTCTTACTGAACTGTCAGCCTCTAGGTAACAATTGTGGTGGCCAAATCACTGCACCTAGATCCAGTCTCAGACAGAGTCTCTTATGCACAGAAGGCTAATTGAGGCACAAGGATAAAGGAACAACAGCCCATAATTGTGTAGTGTTGACACAGCCTATGGAAATACTCGTTTTCTTTGTATCCAAAGATGCTTGATGATGCAAAAAATACAGACGAATCAAGCTTTAAAATAAAACACCAGAAATGATACATTCCAGATGCAGAATGAGGATCTAAAACAATTCAATATTTCATCTCTCCATCAACAACCAGGCAAGCTGGCTAGCCAATTCAGACTCCCTACCCTACTGCTTCACAATAACTGTTTTCACTTATTAGCCAAAATCTGATAAACTCACTTTAAACCTATAAAACAGCACTAAGATTTGAAGAGTGAGAAGGTTTTATGACTGCTGGGGACTGTGGTTGGCAGTATATTGTATTTAGAGACTAGGAATGAAAACACAAGATCCTGATAACCTTTGGACAAAACTGGATGATGCACTGAGGCTTAAAGAGGATTTACCTGTGAAGATCAAAGGCTCGCACTGTTCCATCCAGGGAAGCACTCAGAATGACATAACCGGTGGAGGTAAAAGCTACAGCAGAGATGCTGCTGGTATGCTCCGTAAAAGTGACAAAGCAGAAGCTGCTACTGGTGTTCCAAACTTTCACCTGCAAAAGAAGTAAGAAAAGCCCTCTAAGAACTCCTGTATCATAAACTCACATCCCAACGCTCCAGCATAGCTTCATTATTTCTTCTAATTGAAAGCACAATTCTGCATGCCTTACTCACTCAGACAGCACTCCCAATTCAGCCAGTGGGAGTTCTGTTTGGGAGTGAAGAATGCAGGATCAGGCCTTTTATTTGTAAAATCTCAGTGAAACACATGCAAGGTGAAAGTCTGATTAAAGCTGTTTGAGAATTTTCCATTGGAATGATTTTCGGACACAGAATTCATTTTACACAAAAACTAATTTTTCCACAGATTTCAATTTTGCAGGAAAATTTCAAATTTCTGTTGGAAAAATGTTCACTGCTCCATGGCTTCCCTGTTCTCCAACAGGGTGAGAGTTCCCTGGCCTAGGAGCCTCAGCTCCAGGGTAAGCCCAGGCTGCAGGAGTGTAAGAAACTTCTTGAAAAGATCAAATCAAATTGTCGTTTTGACCTTTTCTAAACAAAATTTCAGAACTCCCATTCTGTGGGAAATTTGATTTTTCGTTATGTTTCAGAATTAATTTTCTCATTTTTCAAGTTTCGTAATTTCCCATAGTACATGAATTCCCATTTCCAGTCAGCTCTAAATTTGATTGGCAGCAGTGGGGCTATTTTTCTTTCCCAGCCCCAAATTTCAGATTGGGAGAAAATGTATCTATTTCAGATATATAAACTGTTAAGTCTCCAGACCATAATTAGAAAAGACAAATGGCCCATTTCAAAATCCAAAGCCTGGCTCTCTCTCTAATCTACAGCTTCAATACAAGTCTCAACTAAGAGACACTTCCATTTTTCTTTTAAACAGAAACTATCTGCAATGGTACATTTGAGAAAATTTTGTTTAGGAATCACACCTTTTTATAAAACTCATTTTGGATTTATTCTGAGACTGGTAAACCCCGACCGTTAGAATGGCTTGGTAGGTGTTTCCGAATTTTGAATAATTGAGGGTCGTCTGTACTGGTACACCATTAATCCACCATCTATGCTTGCATGTTAATGTGGATAGGTATTAGGGACACTACTGTCAAGCCCACAATTTGGCCACCCTTTTTCTTTATGCTGCATTGTATCTGCAACTGTTCCAAATCAAATTCTTAACTGCTAGAAACTGTAAGTAATACAAGCAGCAGAGCCCACAAGAACATCCCTACAATAACAAACCAGAATGTAGAGGCAGTGGGAAAGTAAATTGCTTCCTAGCTTCCAAAACACACTTACAGGCATTGTGGCCAAAAACATGATTTTTAAAATGATGAAAAAAATGATTTGTCAGTTACAGTAACAGTGCTCTCTATAGTGTATTCAGACCTGTACCGCTCACTACACTTTTGCAAGCCAAGAGTTTTAAATAACTGACTGACTTACTTTCCCATCATCCCCGCCAGTAACTAAGTATTGCCCATCTGGAGAATATGCCAATGAGACCATACTGTTGAAATGGCCCTGCTGCTTCAGCACGTAAGACTCACTTTGCCATTCCCACACCAGCAGCTGACCCAGACCTGTAAACATAATGGAGGAGAGGATACATATGTAATTCCGATTCAGTGACGTATACAGGCTACATACAATACTTGCATACAACATCCTTCCCATTTATAAAAAATCATGTGCATACAGATAACCTGTGTTATGTATACATCCACCATAATAGAATGCAAGGTGTCTGATTATTTCAAGGTCAAGGCGACAGACTCTCTGTAAACATCAGCAGTTGTTACTTGACTTAGCATTCTTATTGCTATGCCAAGCCAATACTACTGCTGCTGTCATTGGCAGAAGACAGATGTGTCCTGATGAGCAGCCAAAAAAAGATGGAGGAAAACCATTAAAAAAAATAACTAGAAAGAGAATAAAATAAAATAAAAATAAAACACACAAGCTTGAAATTGGTCTTTCATGTGAAATATTTTTTTTAATCTTGCCTTTTTAAGTGAATCCAAACTATATCTCAACATTAATGAAACACAGGAGATCTAATGTCTACCAAAAGCAGCCGATCTAATGTTCCTATTGGTCTGGCCAAGGGGTTACTGCATGAAATATCGAATGGCTTTCACTCAATCCCATGGGCTCGAGAAGGGTTCTAAGTGAGATACATCTGTTTAGAGAGGGGAAGGGTTCAGCTTGCATGGCAGTTGGTTATGGACTAGATTTGCAGCTCAGAGTGGGAGGAGGTTAGCTGGTGCATCCATCCAGGCATAACTTATAGCGAAGGAAGAATTTATATCAGTAAAGAGAGATGCACGCAGGAAGAAAGGTAACCCAGAATGAAGGTAAACTATAACCTATGTTCAGACTCGTGCCATAGTGTACTCCCATTAGAAGGAGGATGGTCTTATCAGTCAGGAACTGGACTGGGAATCAAGAGATTTAGGTTCTATTCCAAGATCTGCCACAGACTTCATGACTTCAGGCAAACCACTTAATCTACGTACTTCAGTTTTCTCATCTGTGAAATATTATTTCAACTACATCAGAGGGATTTTATAAGGACAAAATCATGGACCTATAAAACAACAAATAAAACTTAAAAATGTGGGGGTCAGGCAGGACAAAGAACTCACACCTGCAGACTTGCAATGTATTGCCTTAGAAAGGCACCCCTTGAACTACAAACCTGAACATCCAAAAGCAATCCAGTCACCAGTGCAGTTGATAGAAATAGTGGCAATCCTCTGGTCTGAAATACTAAGTGAAAAATGCCAAGAAATACGTAAATTGAGGATACAGAATAAAGGAACAATGTAATTTGAGAAACTGTGTTTTGATTTCCTCTATTCAAAGGAAATCCTCTATGATTTTCACATTCCTATGAAATCAGAAATAAACAACACATTATATCCTCTAATAAATGTAAAGGAAACCAGCAAAAATACACTGCTTAGACAGCACTGGCATAAGTTAGGCCAGCCCAGGGTTTTGGATCAAGAACATATGGAGTCACTTTCACAGCAATGCAAAAGGTGCAATGAGAGTTTCATATTTAATTCTATGTTAAACTGAAAATGCATCACGTATTTGGATCACGAGAGCCAACGTTCCCATTAGCACAAGAGGACAAATTCCATTGTAGTCACTGGAGTTGGGTCCGCTTATACTAGTGGCAAATTTGATCCTAAGAGTCAAGGAAGCAGTAGCTAAAAGCGTTCTCTGACCCCACTCAATATACAGGACACAGCCAACTATGTCCCAATACATGCCCATCACTGTGGTAATTAAGTAGTATCAGAGAGCCATAGGTATCGTGGTCCCAGTAATACAAATCCAGGGACTGGGCTAGCAGAAACATACAGTATTTCTTCCTTCCCAATATTTGTGCACATTACGCATCTGTCAACTCTTTCCCATTTAATGTCTGCACAACATTCTCAAGATGTAAAATGCTGTACAAGTGTTAAGTATTATTTCAAGCCTAGGAGTGTAAATGTATTTTAATACAAAATGACCTGTAATTGAATCAATACACTCTCCCTAACCCCATCCAATTTTATTTTTTTAAACGACTGTGGATTTGAAGTAATTTGTACAGAAATTCTGTATGTGGTTTTTAAAATGTGTTAAATATATTTCACCACAGACAAAAAACACTGCCACGGTGCTTAAATGCAAATCAGTTTTACAAATTTCCACCATTTCAATTCAAGAAACTTCAATTAATCAAAGGATAGATAGCCCTGAGCTAGCTGTGGGAAGCTGTAATTTCTTCAGATACTTTTCAGACTTCTTATGGGATAGAAGGAACAAAAATATAGTCCAGGGTAAAGAGTATAAATTTGTATTTTAAAAAAAAGCAACTATGAACTCGAGCAAGGAGCTACTTAACGGGACAAGATTAAAATTTGCCATATTCTAGAAAGATCTACTTGGTTGTAAATGGAAATTGTGCATTCATTCTTTACACATCCCCTTTTTAAGTTTAACACACCACGCTACATAGCAACCATCAAAATATAATAATAATATTCATCTGACATATATCTTTTTTTGTCTTGAAAGCACTTTACAAACGCTATTTATTAATACCCTTGTGGGGTAAGTAATTAAGTAGTATTCTCATTTTATACAAACAGAAATTGACACAGCAGTTCAGTGACTTGCTCAAAACCATAAAGAGGGTCTGCAAGGCTGGGATTAGAACTCAGGAGTTCCTGGTTCAAATCATGCCCCTCTTTAATAAAGCAATGAAGTGGAATTAAATAGTTTTAGTTAATCTGTCTGAGATTAATGCTCCTATTCAAATCAGTGTGGCTTCAGAATTCCACCTCATGACTGAAATGCCAATTACAATACCCAGCGAACTGTTCAAGACTTTCACGCCATGACATTCATCCTTCAGTATTAGACACAATGACCCACTCTAGGGCTTGTACAATTAAACTAACCTTAAGGAATGGATAAGGTTGAACTCTGGAAGCTCATGTATGTGAAAAATTCCAGAAGCAAAACCAGTGACCAGAAGGTGTGTTTTCTTGTGATAAGCTGCAGATGTCAGGTTATTAAAATCTCCTTCTTTGTTGAAAAAGTACCTATATGCCAAAGAAAATACACCAAAAAAGCAATGTGAAGATGAATGACAGGTGTACTTTTGCAATGACAATTCAACATAAGGCAAGTATTTTGGTGGTGGTACCACAACAAACTAAAACACAGCAGTTCTCCAAGCTGCTTATGATTTACATTTTGCCTTATTCCTCTAGTTGAACCACTCCTCCTACCATGGATACTAATTTACAGCTGTTATACTAACATAATTTAACAGAAGTGGCGTACGACTATACATAATGAAAGACACTTAAGGTTAACCTAAGAGGAATTCAACTGTGAATTTTCCTTTGGTCACCTAATGCCAACATCTGTGGTTTCTATAAATTACGTGGTTAACCCTGTATTCTTTAAGATGATTCTAAATGAGTAATTGAAGCACTGGAATCATAAACCGTGTACTCTTGGTACTGAGGTTTATATTTTTGTAGCTGTAGCTCTTACGATGTTGTATTTGATGGCATTCTCAGGGTCAAATAAATGTATGTTTGAATGTTATCCAACAACTGCATATTCCATTTAAAGTTTCTTTATACTCTAGGACTATGTACTCCAGATTGTGTTTCACAAGTCTCATTTGAAAATGTGGCACTCCTTCAGAAAGGTAACCCAAACTGCTGATGTCAGCTTAAAGATACCTATCTTCTACAGAGACTAATGTCACTGAGCCAAAATTCAGTATTTTGATGTCAACCCATCTTTCCTCACAGAAATATAGCTCCACAGTAGCAGAAACTAAACGTCTATCAGTGCCACTGCAAGATGGCGTACACTGGACCTCATTACATTTCCTATATTTTTAACTTTAAACTATTAATTTTGAAGGTAATCTTTTGTGTCATCATAAAACAAGAACACAGATTTTCCTTCAAGAATTAAATCAATTTACTCACCAATTGCATAAATCACTATTCACATGCTCAGGGTATGATAGAATTGGGTTTTATTGACGGCAACTATAATAGAGTTTAATGACTGAAAGCTGGGTAGGGATGTCCACTAGCTTCAAGTAAGACAGAGTATATTAATGTAAAGTGAATAGAGCCCATTGCAATGAATCCCAGCTATGTCTGTTATATCTATCTATATATCCCTGTTATCGTTGGAAGATCACCTACTTTGCAGCACGTGAATATTTCACTTTGTCTCTCCTTTCTTTTTCATTTGTAGTGGCTTTTCCATGAATCTCCTCACCCTTGGGCTCTTCAATAAACTCTTCACCCAGGTCTTCTATTGATTCATTCTTATCTTCTGCTCTGTCTTTGGGAGGCCTGGGCTTTAGACCATCCAAGTCTGTATCACATTGCCACACACACAAGGCCCCATCCTGGCTAATTGTGTACAGCTGGAGTATAAACATACATACATCTATTATGAACATCATACAGCCCTAGGGTTCCATAATCTGCTGAATTAAACAGCATATCAACCCACCAAAAAACTGGATTAGGGAGTGGCAATACTTACTCGATAATTAAGGTTATAACCAGCTTCCACTATAAAGAATTATTTTAGTGACCCTATACATTTGTCTTAGAAAATTCATTTATCGTGAAAATTATAAGATTTACTCTGAAGACAGAGAAAAACGTTTCGGAAAAGTCTAAAGACAATTTGGCAAATCGTCTTTGAATTACAGGACATTAAATAACAGGTATTTTCCATCGGTGATTTCTATGAACACTTCATTGGAATACCAGTGCAATAGAAATTCGGTATGGTTATCTACAGATGGAAAAATGCTGGGCCAATTTTAATATGAACATTCAAATAAGCAGTGTGCTTGTTTACATACATCTAGACTATTCTCTTCAAAAAAGCAGGCTACGATTGCATCTTTATGCCCTCCCAGAGAGTAATAGATCAGGTTAACCCATCGTTCAGCTCCAAACACCCATGTTGACATATCCTTGCTACCGATTGCAAAACACCTACAAAAGAAAATAAAGGGGAAGTCAGATCAGAGCATGGGTTCACAAACTTTTCCACTGTGTGGACCCCATTTTAACAGAGAGGTACAGACATTCAACATGTGATTCATACTGGACAGATGTTCACACTACAACTGGTAGTCTTAGCAGGGATGCCAAGGACTGAATAGGCAGAGAGAGTCAACTACACTCACTCCATAAGAGTCATTCCCTCCATGGGGAGATGGAGACACATTTTAAGGGATGGTTGTACCCTATTGCTCCCAAGATGTACTATATTCTATGGATACGTACTCAGGCAGCTTTAAAAAAACAAAACACATTAGTTGTGCATAAATTTAAGAACATAGACTGAGAAATTGAGAAATTAAAGGGAGCTTTCAAAGCCAGTGAAAGACTTGAGAATTTGGAGACTGGACTACAGCACACATACACAAATGAAATTTTTATTGGAGCAAATTTTCAGGATCCAACATATACACTATCCTTAATAATAATGATGAACACCAAATTAACAATAAAGTGGGATTTGAAAGAGCATCTTGCAATAAAGAGCAATAAAGTGGGATTTGCAAGGGAGCAAGGAGCACAAGTCCCATGGACTTTTGTAACTACTTACTTGGAATCATCAGTCCAGTCAATGCATGTTGTTTCATCGTATGGACCATAGTAAGTTTTGTCCAGAACAAAGGCATTAAATTCTCGTTTCTTCCCAGGGGCATGGTACATAAGAGCAACATTGTCCTTTGTGATCACAAATTTCCTATCACACAGAAAATGGAGAGCAAAATTATACACAAAACTGCAGGAGCAACCAGTCCTTCCGTGCCAGAAACAAGAGTAATACAACAAAACAAAATAATATTAGAAAGGGATATTTCTTGTGTGATGAAAGGATATATATGTACTACTGCTACGCTGGTAGAGTAAAAACAAAGTCCTGGCATGTAAAATACATCACCTGCGTATACAGTACCCTCCACTCCAGCAAATGTGTGTATATGTATAAATACAGTTTGTGTGTTACTCCCAGAAAGAAAAGTTTTCATTAAAATCAATTAAGATTTCTCAAGAAAAACAAACTCTTAAAAGCAAGGAAATGTCCATAGTCAAGATATCCTTTTTCAACAAACCTTAACCCCCACCTTTTGACCACTTTCATGGACATATTTATAGAGAGGCAGAGTAAGTCCCATATACCTCCAACATCACTCAAGATCCTACAATGCAAAACCTTGACTTCAACCTCCGCAGCATCAACATGTGCATCTCTTAGGCACCTGTGCACCAATGAACTTGAATTTTCCAATGGGGAAGTGCATTATGAAGTCAGAGTAAAGTTTCTAAAATAGTCCCCTATCACAGGGAATGAATATCCTGGAAAAGGGTAAGGGTGGGAAACTTGACTACCTCCCTCCCTCGCTCCTCCTCCACCCCAGCCCCCACACTCCAGTCTACAGAAACTGATCCTGTTCAAATATTCATTGATTACTTCCCCCCCCCTTCCAACATCATGGATTAAGAAATTGTATTCCTTGACTGGTCTGTTTTTAATCAATTCATTACCTACATTTTAAAGTTGTTGTTTTTAAAGTTCCTGTTTACCTGCCATCTGGGGAAAAGCAGACACAGTGCACTGGCTTCTGAAAATGGAACTGATGTATCACAGATTTACCAATCAAACTGACAAGCAAGGCAGCTCCCTCTGTAAGGAAGGAAGGAAGGAAAAGGATCACTGAAACAGTTTGACACTCTGAAGAAACTATAGGTATATAGATTTTTTTTTTTAAGCCAGACATCTTTTTCGGGGGTGGGGCTTTTCAATGTAACACCATTTAAAAATATTAACATAGTAAATCTGAACAAAATTAAAGAAGCCACATTCTGGTTCAACAACAACTTTGAAAATTCTGAGGAAGAAATATATGTTTTCAGAATTTAGATTTAGTCAAATGTGGCTAGTTATGGGTAAATATTATCATATTTAATAAAATGGATTGTCTTCTGCAAACTGTAGTTCTCTGACACACCTTTAGGAACAAAAATACCCCCAATACCTTCATCAACTAATATGGCAAGACTTCCATCTGGAGAGAGCCCCACACATGTGATATTGTGCCGTGTTGCCAATGGTAATGTTTCTGACTTATTACTGGAGGAAAAGAAAACCAATAAAACAACATTAACCACAGTGGTGTAAGAGTGGTCTAATGACTTTGTAATATACTAATGCTTTTCATTTTCAGAGGACTAGGGCTTGATTTCTAGTGCAGGGTCAGCATGGACTGGGAGTGGTGTGGAAACAGGGTGCATAAACCCTGAGATTACTTCATGCTGCTCAACAAATCTGCCCTGTAGATGAATAAGTAGTGGTGCTGAATGGAATGCTGCCAAGTAGCCAGCAGCATGATGGCCACAATGCAGACCTTTAAAGATAGGAAGGTTAAAAGTAGATCAGGGACACCAAGACTCCCACTTCCCACAGAGTAAAAAAAACAAAAAACCACACAACAGAACTGCACGGGGTACCATACCATATCAAATGCATACTGATACTATTGATCTTCTTTACTCATTGTTTTAAAATACTTTCATTTGTACAACTACTCTTCTCATTGATCCATGCATATGAATAGAGCCCTGCAAATATCTGCATCCGGGGACCATGTTTGCAGATGGATGTGGATCCAAATTTTACAATAGAGCCCTGCAAATCTGCAGATATCCACTTTATAGCCACAGATCATGTTTGTGGATCAGATGCAGATACAAATTTTGTATCAGTGTAGAGCTTTACACATGAAATATGCATTCTCTGATATCTCCTGCCACCCTATTATATAGGCTTCACTTTTTTTTTTTACTTTTGAAACTACTGTAAGAGAGTGGTAGTGTTTGAGAATGCTAGTCATTTTTTATTCCAGACACCTCTGTATCAGGCAGATTGTTCCCCTCTCTCTCACCTAGATACTTTTCATTTGAGAAGAGTACTATACACACTTTTATTCTGGACGCCTGCAGTGCCTGTACACTAAGCAAAATCTTCTGCCTCCTTGTCAGTGATTAACTTGCCACACACTAATTCTGTTCTATTCAGTTCTCATACTATCATCTATTGAGCTCCTTATATAGCCCTCATCTGTGTGCCTCCCAGTCTTTAATGGATTTTAAAACACCACAAGGAAATAGGGAAAACTCCTATTTTACAGAGGCACAGGTTGATTTAGTGAAGGGGTCGACAACCTTTCAGAAGTGGTGTGCTGACTCTTCATTTATTCACTCTAATTTAAAGTTTCGCGTGCCAGTCATACATTTTAACGTTTTTAGAAGGTCTCTTTCTATAAGTCTATAATATATAACTAAACTATTGTCGTATGCAAAGTAAATAAGGCTTTTAAAATGTTTAAGAAGCTTTATTTAAAATTAAATTAAAATGCAGAGCCCCCCAGACCAGTGGCCAGGACCCCAGCAGTGTGAGTGCCACTGAAAATCAGCTTGCACCATACACCTGCCATAGGTTGCCTACCCGACTTAGTGACTTGCTCAACGAAGCAGATCAGTGGTTGAGCCAAGAATTGAACCTAGGTCCCCCAAATCTTAGTACAGTATCCTACCCTGACCACTAGACTAGAACAGCTTTCCTACCATTTATCCCATTCCCATCACTATGGTCGTTTCCAAACACTTCACTATCCAGCATCTCCAGCCCCAGTTAAGTGCCAGCCCCAGTTAAGTGCCAGCCAGGAGCTAAAATGAAGATGCATAGTCCAACTGGACTATCACACCAGTTAGCAGGAAAGGCACCGGGCAAGCCCAGGTCACTTACTTTTTCAGGTCAAAGACAGTGACTCTGTTCCCGACGGGGCTGATGACGCAGTTACCATCTGGGGTGAAATGTAGGTTCCCACGCCGATAAACAGTGCCCAGCAAGTTAGAGAACTTGGGAGAGAAAGGAGAGGTGCTCTTACTGGGGGCTTAACAGGAAGGAGCATCCCAGGGAAGGGATGCTGAAGGGTCAGGGTGGGGTGGTGACAATCCCCTAGGTGGAGCTCAATGTGCTGGAGGGGCAGGCAGGGGTTCAGAGAGGTAAAGAAGGAACAGTTATTAAGTGCTCACAGCAGGGTGTGTGAGGAGCCTTGGGGCAGTCCAGGCAGAATGTATGGGGGGAGGGGGGCACAGTGTAGAGAGATCCATGCAACAAGGGACGGGTTGTTCCCGGGGACTCCAGGGGCGTCGTGTGTGTGTGTGTGCGCGGGGGACTCTGCAGGGAACACAGGGCAGGTGGTGTATGGGGGGCAATATAGGGAGAATTCATGGGGGGATACCACGGATTCAGGGTGCTTGAGGGGGCAGTCTTGTGGCTCTACAGGGAACACAGGGGGGGATGTGTATGGGGGCCAGTGAATGGGGGGATCCCAGGGACTCAGGGTGTGTGTGTCGGGGGGGGGTCCTTGGGGCTCTGCAGGGGGCACAGGGCGGGGGACCCATGGGGGTTCCCAGGGACTCAGGGCAGGATGTGGGGGGAAGACTCTGGGGCAGGGTCCCAGGCGGGGGGGGGGGGGGGCGCAGGGAAGAACGCCCGGGGGAGCGGGGCGGGCTCGGGCTGTGCCAGTGGCACGCGCGCCACCCCCTTACCCTGTAAGCGAACTTCATCCCCGCGGCGGGGCTCGCGCTGGCGCCTGCTGAGCCGCGTCTCCCTGCACATGGAAAGCGCGTGCGGCCCCGTCGTCTCCTCGCGCCGCGGGCTCCCTCACTTCCGGGTCACTCACGGAGGCGGCCAGCCCCACAAGCGCCCCCTGGCGTCCGGGAGGGAAAAGGCACCAATGCTCCGGGGAGCAGCCCTACGCATGCGCTTTCGGGCGGGCGCGCAGCGGGCGGGGGGGCTGGTTTCTGCTCTTCTTAGGGACTGGGAGGCGCCTGCGCGTTTCTTGTTAAGGCGCTGACGGGGGGGGGGGGGGCGCAGCCCTGGCGCGTGCATGGGGGTTGCTCCGTAGGGCCCGGGCGCTACTACGCACCCCCGTTACGTGGGGGGCGAGAAGAGAGGCAGGGAAGAGACAGACAAAAAGCAGGTTAAAGACGATGGAGTTAAGTTAACAACATGGAGTCCGGTGGCACCTTAAAGACTAACAGATTTATTTGGGCATAAGCTTTCGTGAGTAAAAACCTCACTTCTTCGGATGCATAGAGTGAAAGTTACAGACGCAGGCATTATATACTGATACATGGAGAGCAGGGAGTTACTTCGCAAATGGAGAACCAGTGTTGACAGGGCCAATTCAATCAGGGTGGATGTAGTCCACTCCCAATAATAGATGAGGAGGTGTCAATTCCAGGAGAGGAAAAGCTGCTTCTGTAATGAGCCAGCCACTCCCAGTCCCTATTCAAGCCCAGATTAATGGTGTTAAATTTGCAAATGAATTTTAGTTCTGCTGTTTCTCTTTGAAATCTATTTCTGAAGGGTTTTTTTTGTTCAATGATAGTGACTTTTAAATCTGTAATAGAATGACCAGGGAGATTGAAGTGTAGTTTTAAGAATGCTTGATAAAGATTGTGTAGGGCATCGAGGGTTTCTGGATCTTGGGTAGCAAGATCCCTCCCCTCGACCCGACCCAACCGTAGGAAGGAGCCAGAGGGACTGGGAGGGACCTGCCTGCTGGATGCTTCCTGGGAGCCGCTCCAGGTAAGCACTGCTGGGCTCACCTGGCTGGGCTCCCCTCAGACCCACTGCCCTCAGCCCCCACCCTGACCTGTTCCCTCAGCCTCCCCTGCAGTGCCCCCTGTGCCCCCCCACCCTCAACCCACTGCCCTCAGCCCCCCTGACCCTGTTCCCTCTGCCTCCCCCACA